TACACTATTCAAACATATTTACTAGGGGCTGGAAAGGTGCCTGACTTGAATGTGCTCTGAACATACTCTGAACGACGTCAGGCTTTCTAGGTAAGCCAAGCTGCAGCAAAAGCAGTCGCCACATGGCCCTTATCACTCAGTGGGTTCAACAGTGTTTGAAGTCTATGCGGCAGCGCTGTAACAACCCCAACAGGAGAATCACAGCACAGACCCCCGGGGTTTTAGAGAAAAGCCATGCTCTCTTTGCCAATTAATTACTTACCTGTTTAGAAAGTGATCTTGGCTTACTACTGAACTCTTGCGGAGGGTGAAGTGCAAACTATAAAACACAGACTATCATGTGCCCCAAGCTGTCCATGGTAAACTGGGTGTTTTCTTACCCACCTAGCTGTAAAGCCGGGCTGCCTGGTAGCATGCCATTATTAGATGTCATGGATTGAATTGTGTCCCCCAAAAGTATCTGTCAAGTTGGCTGGGTCAGGATTCCCAGTATTGTATGATTGTGTAATCTGATGTGATTTCCTTATGTGCTGTAAACTGTATCACTATGATGAGGTTATATATGATCTCCTTATGTGTTGTAAATTCTGTCACTGTGATGAGGTTATACTGATGAGGTTTACAAGATTGGATAGTGTCTTAACCCAATCGATTTTGAGATATAACAGAGAGAAGCGAGCAGAGACACATGGGAACCTCATACCACCAAGAAAGCAGTGCCAGGAGCACATGGCATCCTTTGGACCTGATGTTCCTGTGCAGAGAAGCTCCTGGACCAAGACTGATGATGTGGACCTTCCTTCAGAGCTGAGAGAGGGTCTTCCCCTGGAGCTGGTGCCCTGAATTTGGACTTGTAGCCTACTGGACTGTGAGAGAATAAATTTCTCTTTGTTAAAGCCATCCACTCGTGGTATTTCTGTTAGAGCAGCACTAGATGACTAAGACATTAGAGAAGTATACATGTGTGCTTTTCTCTTGTTTGTTTGCTCTGAGATCCGTTCCCACCTTCCATGTTCTTCTCTGTTATCAAGAAGGCTAAAAGCCTACCAACTACATTTCCCAGACTCTCTTGCCAGGTAGCTTCCAGTCAGGTTTTGACAATGATAGGAATTAGGTGGGAGAAGGGAGAAGCCATATTTATTTTGTGTGTGCGTGTGTTTTCTACTTCTTACAGCTGTACCCTCAGGCAGCACTAGGAGTGGACAAGAATGGCCTCCTAGGGTCCCGTGTGGTCAGAGATGGCAACAGCAGTGGGCACTCAGGCAGTCTCAGTATACAGTGTTCCGGGGCTCTGGCTGTGGTGGGAGCAGCAAAAGCAGCAGGTGTTTTCAGGTCTCAGCCTCCTTGTAGGCTTCCTGCAACATCATGGCGGTGGTGGTTCCAATGGCAGCATCGTCAGCAACTGGTACTCCAGCAGCCTCACCTATATAATGATCATGGACTCTGAGGAACACCAATGTATTGGTTACCTCTTGCTGTAAAACAACAAACACATTTTCTTACAGTTTCTATAGGCCAGCAATCTGAGCGCAGCTAGCAGGATGTCGCTGGCTGAGGCCGCAATCAAGGTGTCAGCCATGCTGCAGTCACTGCCAGGCTCCTGCAGGGAGAATCTGCTTCCAAGTTCACTCATTGTTGTCGGCAGTCCTCAGGTCCTCGCTGGCTAGTGGCCGGAGACATCAATTCCTCAACACGTGGGCCTCTCCGTGGGGCAGCTCACAACATAGCAGCTGGCTTCCCTCAAAGTGAGTAGGAGAATGAGAGAGCGTGCTATGAGGGAAACCACAGTCCTTTCGTGACCTAATCTCGCAAGTTCATCCCAGGCCCTGAGTGGTGCAAACAGTTAACGCGCTAGTCTGATAACTGAAAGGTTGGTGGTTCTAGTCTACCCGGAGGCACCTTGGAAGAAGGGCCTGGCAATCTACTTCCAAAAAAAAATCAGCTATTAAAAACTCTATGGAGCACAGTTCTACTCTGACACACATGGGTAACCATGAATCAGAATCAACTCAACAGCAACTGGTTTATTCTTTACAAGTGAGTTAGGAGGTCCAGTCCACATTCAAGCTTACATGTACTGAGTACTTACTAAGTACTTACTAAGAGGGAAGGATGACAATACCTCTTAATTTGTTTCTCTAGATTGATATTAAAGACACTCTCCGGTCTAAGCCCCAGGCCTGTCTGAGTTCAGAGGCCCTCTCTCATCACCCTCTCTCAGCACTGCTGAGCTTCCCTGGGGCTCAGGAATGCCTAGCTGAGGCCATCCTCCTGACCTGTCCACCTAAGTACTGAGTCAGCCATAGCTGCACAACTGCTCTGGCCCCATACTGGGCGTTCAGCATGTCTGAGGAGTTTGCAGTTTCCCCTAAACTTTACCCTGGAAGTAGAGGCATGAGTCTTCTCTGCAACCTCTAAAACCTACCAGAGGATTCTCTCTGTGAACTGCAAGCCCCTCCCGCTCCCAGAAACTTCAGCCTGGGGTGGGCAAACCACCTTATCCTGAATCCTCCCCATCTCTATGGTTTAGGCTCTCTTGTCCTCCAGTTTCCTTGACTTTCAATACTCAAAACCAAGCTTTTTCATTAAAAACACAAATAAAACAAACAAACAACAAATAAAACTCTCCACCTACACAACAGCTCTTACAAAAAATCCTTTGCTTTTCAATCCTATCATAAACTAAAAAAAAACAACAAAACCTGGTACCTTACTTGACTTCTTTGTTCCAGATTCTAGCTGTCCTTCCCTGGGGCAAGTGCATTAAGAAGGTGACCTAATTTAAATAAATAATAATACTAAAAAAGGTGATCATTGATGTCTCAATGGAGGAAAGAAGAGTAATGGGAGAAGGAAACCCAAGGAAGGTGGGGCCTCAGTTAATACCTCAAACTCCTATCACTACAACATAAGCACTTCCCAAAATTAGACATAGCTTATGAGCATCATTTTAATAGTTGCTCAGTATTCTACCAACAAAGACAATTTACTATTCTCTTATTTTGTATTTTGTTTCCTTTCGTATTGTAGATAATCCATTATGGTTATCTTAGGACATAAAGTTTCTCTCCCTGAATATATATTATATAATTTATATCAAAGTATTTATACTGTTAAGGTGTTTGTTACATGTTCCAAATTGCTTTATAAACAGTTGTAGCTGCTTGATTCTAGAATGCTGCCATATTTGATTAAGCACTGGTACCCAAAATAAAAACAAACCCAAACGCTTCACTGTCTCATAGCATGCCTAGAGGACAGAGTAGAACTGCCCATAGGATTTCCAAGGAGTGCCTGGTGGATTCGAACTGCCGACCTTTTGGTTAGCAGCCTAGCTCTTAACCACTGTACCACCAGGGTTTCCCTACGCCACCAGGGAACCCTATAGGACAGTTCTACTCTGTCTTACAGGCTCGCTATGGGTCAGAATCAACAATAACAACAACAACAAGGTGACTTTAAGAAGTCCTGGTGGCATAATGGTTATGTTCCTGGCTGCTAACCAAAAGATCCAAGGTACGAACCTACCTGCGGCTCCTGGGGAGGAAAAACCTGGCAATCTGCTCCCACAAAGATTACAGCCTAGGAAACCCTATGAGGCAGTTCTACTCTGTCATATAGGATCGCTATAGCCGGACTCAACTCCCTGGCACACAACACGGTGATTTTAAAGGTCCTGCCTACCACTCCCTCCCTCCCCTCGTTCCGTGGTCCAATTAGAATAAACTATTTTCAGTTTTTGGAGAGCTCTAAGCTTTCCTCCATCTAGAAAACCTAACCCGCTTCCCCCGAACCAATCCACACACACAAACACTCACACACCATTTGAGTGGTGATTTAGGAAATAATATTGGAGTTATTATTCCCTCTCCCTGAGCATAGAGAATGTGACCCAGCTGGAGCTGGGCTCACAAGGACATATCAGCTGGACACTGAGGTATAAAGACAATAGCTAAGATAATCTTGGAAACTATCTTTTAGGGAAACTTTCACATAAAGCCAATCAAACAGAACACGAAAGACTTTCTACTCTTGTCTTTTTCTATCAGCATTTAGTGAATAGAAATTTGTTGGACCATTGAAAACCCTCCTGACTCTCTTTACTGAAACTTGTACCAATGATTGTTAAGAAAGACAAGTCAAAATGTAGGATCACAGTTTCTAGCCAATCTGAAAAGGCTAAGCTTTCAATGGTTTTGCCCATTTGTAATGCTAATATAATATATACTGATGGCTCTGAAACTGTTCTTTGGACTGGGGTCCAGACGTGTGCGGCAGCAAGCTTGTCTGTTTTCCCAATCTTGCCTATTCTGTAATATTCCTTGGACTCGGGCAGACACGGCTGCGGGAGCATACTTGTCTGTTTTCCCATTCTTGCCTATTCTGTAATGGTCTTTGGACTCGGGCAGACATGGCTCTAGCAGCATGGTTGTCTGCTTCCCACTTCTGCCCTTTTGAATATATGCGGAATAAAACTTACTTTTTGCTTCATTAAACTTTATGATGTTTTTCCCTTACAACAGTGGGGGAGGTCCTCCTCTGTGCTCCGCAGTGCCTACTGCTTCCCTCATGATGGTACTTCCACGTGGTTGTAGCTGCCAGGTTATTCGTCACCCTCTCCATTAGACAAAATGTTCCTCGGCGCAGGGACCACGTTTTAGCCACAGCAGTATCTCCAGCTTCCCTGGATGGGCCAAGCTCCATCGCCCCAGGCAGCGCCACCTCAGCAGTCGACGGAGCGCATGCGCCTAGACCTTTCGAAGCCCGCGCGGGAAGCAGAGCCTCCCTGCGCGCGGCTCCTGGAAGGGGCGGTCCTTTGCCACTTGAGCTCCCCTCCCCCACTCTCGGTGCGCTTGCGCACAGGGGACAACCGTTGCAGGGCGCCCAGGGCCCTAAGGTGGGATCGTCGGCCGCCGACACCCCCGTTTCGGCCCTGAGGTACCCGGCCCGGTGGGCCCAGGACGTTCCAGTCGCATGGCGGAGTGCTTCGGACGACGCCCATGAAGTCCTTAGCCCTTCTAGTTGCGCTGTTGCTATGGTCTTCGTCCGTGCTGGCATATCCGAGTGAGTGACTGGCCTGAGGCGGCAGCGACCCAGGGGACACACCTGGGGGAACTTCCCAGGCTCTGGGGCCTGCCTGAAGCCCGGCTCTTCCTTTTCCCTCAGATTCCCTGGTCCTCCCAAGCCCCACTGTCCAGGGTCCTGGCCTACCTGCGCTCAGGTGTGTCCGTCTCTTACTCGCGACCTCCTCCGCCCCGAACCCGCACGCTGCCCAGCCAACCAGGAAGAGCGGTGACTGGGCATTGATCCCAAACGTGACTAGGGATGCGTCTCTGGGCAGACTGGGCTCGCGGACATGCTCGTTGTTGTTGGTTAACCTCATCATCTTTCAGCAGATGCACTGCATATGCAGGAGCCAGCAGACAATGGCCCGCGGGCAAAAGCTTTTGTATGGCTGGCCTGCTAAGAATGATCTTAACATTTTTAAATATTAATTTAAATATTTCGTGACTTGTGAAAAAGTATGGAATTCCAGTTCCATTGTTCATAAATAAAGTTTTATTGGAACACAGCCATGGTCATTCCTTTATGTATTGCCCAGGCTGCTTTCCTGTGCTGTAATAGCAGTTATGTACTTGCCACAGAGACTGTTGTTGTTAGTTGCTATACCCCATGTGTCCCAGGGCAGAACTGCTGCATACAGTTTTCTTGGCTGTAACCTTTATGGAAGCAGATCACCAGGCCTTTTTTCCACAGCACCGCTGCATTGGTTTGAATCGCCAACTTTAGGATACCACTCTCGGCCCTTTACAGAAAAAGTTTGCCTGACCCCTTTGGTAAAACATGGACAGCATGTGGATTCTGGGTAGCTGTCTAGGGCACTCATGTGACCCTGTGTATAATTCTACAGAGCAGCCTCTGGATACACAGGATTCAAAGTTGTAGTTAAGCAGAGTTACAAATTACTACTTGCCAAGGAGCTCTTTGGTTTCTCCCCGTAGGTGAAAACCAATAAGCCAAATTCAGGGATCTTAAAAGTTTACTGTATTAACAACATCCACGTGGACAGCTAGAGGTATTGAAGCATTTAAGTCAGGTATCTGGTAACTAGTATTCCAAATAGGACTGTGAGGCTTGTTCATCTAGCCTGACTGTTGTTTAGTGTGGCATTTAGTAATTTAACTAACTAAATAGAATTTAACAGATATAGAAAAAAAAAATAGTAACGTAAGTATACCCGTGGCCCTCGTGTCGATTCTGACTCATATGGCCCTATAGGATGGAGTAGAACTGCCCCATAGGGTTTCCAAGGCTGTAATCTTTAGGGATCCTGCTGAGCAGCTGGTGGGTTCGAACTGCCAACCTTTCAGTTAGCAGCCAAGTGCTTAAACCACTGTGCCACCAGGGCTCCTTAGTAACATAATTAGTGCTTGCTAATTATACAGAGCTATAGTTCAGAATTGTTAACAGGGCATACTTAAAAATTAGATTTAAAAAACAAAATACAACATAACCTAAATAATCATGAATCGTAGTAGGAAAAGTTCTGGATAAAGTGTCCTAGATACCTCAAGTTAGTCCTTTAAATATTAGCACTTATCATGTTTAGCTGCTTTTAACAAAAATCTTTGTAAAATTTTTCTTCCTTGCCTTAAGGGACTGGAACATACTGAATATATTACCTTTTCTTGATGTCTGATGGTCATTATGACTCACATCGGTTATTGCACTTTAGTAGTTGTGGATCAGCGGGTCACAATTGACTAAGAAATATGGAGATTTTAGTTAAGATGACATTAATACTGTCACACAAAATACTCTGGGGCTGCTGTGCAGTAGCACCTGGATACTCTCTTAATTCAGTGAAACTCCTGCCACCTGTTTCTTGCCTCCCTCCATAATTTCATGGCCTGTTCTTTTTCTCTGCACCCTCCTCCCTAAACTTTCCCAGAGCTAGTAGGAAATGAAGTGATACTTCTCAGAAAAAGGAGTGCTTTTGTGTGGAAGATATAGGTGATATAAGACATAAGGATAATATATACATGTCAAAGATGATGGAAGATGTCTTAGAAAATCTATTTACCTCCTTTCTACTGAAGTGGATTAAGGGATATGTAGGGCAATGTTAACATGACTACCGTCTCTTTTTCTCTCTCTCTCTGTCTTGCTCATTCTGTGTTTCTAAATAATTTTAACTTTGCTTATTTTTTTGAATAGGTATGCCAGAAGAAACCGGCTTATCACTGTCTTTGATTTAAATCACTTACGTAGTCTTTATTTTATATGGGCCCAATTCCAACAATTGTTGTCAAGAGAGTCAAATAAAAAATGATCTCTCAAGCCAAAGATAAGTCAGATAGGTTTTCATAATGAAAGTAAGCTTTGATAATTTTTTTCTGGACTACTAAAACAGCTTTCAGGTTATTGTATAAACATCATAGGCATTTTGTATTAAGCAGCTACGTTTATTGAAAAACCTCAGTACTTTTTGTAACTTCCCATACATTTCTAATGGGCTCACTCCAAGTTTAGTTAGTACCAGTATAATTTAAATTCAGTTGACATGAATGAGATTTGAGTGTACGGAAATCTACACTCGACTTCATATGTATACATCCTGATGGTGCTGGATAAACACCCTTTTACTATACTGTTAAATGTCTGTGCATTCAATTAATTTCCTTGTATCTGGTCTTTCCATACTTTTAGTTTTAAATATTTTCCAATTTTCAAAACATACCCTTTAATGTATCTGCACTGTACAACTTGCCTTACTTCTTAATGAGAATTCCTTCTGCTTTTAAGAAATTTACAGCTTCTAAAGTAACGTGAGGAGCCCTGGTGGCACAGTGGATAAGAGATCAGCTGCTAACCAAAATGTCGGCGGTTCGAATCCACGAGATGCTCCTTGAAACACTATGGGGCAATTCTACTTTGTCCCAGGGTTGCTGTGAGTCGGAATTGACTCAACAGCTATGGGTTTGGTAAACTAACATGCATATACTAGTAATATATTTAAATTATGCTAGAATAGGAGCCCTGGTGGTAAGTGATATAATTTGCCTTTTATAATTTGAAGTCGTTTAATATTCATGGTCCTGAAGCTGGGTGTTTTTTTCCTTTTTTGTATAAAACGAAAAAACCCACTGCCGTCAGGTCGATTCTGACTCACAGCGACCTTATAGGACAGTGTAGATCTGCCCCATAGGATTTCCAAAGCTGTAAATCTTTATAGAAGCTGACTGCTACATCTTTCTCCCATAGAGCAGCAGGTGGATTCGAACAGCCCACCTTGCAGTTAGCAGCTGAGAGCTTTAACCACTGTGCCACCAGGGCTCTTTTTTTTTTTTCTTTTTTAGGTTATCTCCTTGGATGTTGTTGTTAGGTGCCATCGAGTCGGTTCCGACTCATAGCAACCCTATACACAACAGAAGGAAACACTGCCCAGTCCTGCGCCATCCTCACAGGCATTGCTATGTTTGAGCCCATTGTTGCAGCCACTATGTCAATCCATCTCGCTGAGGGTCCTCCTCTTTTTTGCTAATCCTCTACCAAGCATGATGTCTGTCTCTATGGATAGATCAGCACAAATAGTTAATGGTACGGGATTGTTTTAGGCCAGGATGACAATACCTCTTAATTTGTTTCTCTAGATTGATATTAAAGACTCAATATGTGAGTCTTTGCCCTCTATCTTTGTCCTTAGGATGGACTTTGTTGTTATAGGCCACACAGTGCAAAGGAAGTGCAAAGGCAACAACCAGCAACAGTTGTTCGAACATATCAGCAAATAAATTCAAAGGAAAAGTCAAATTATTTCATTTCAAGCACATTTCAAAGTACAACTCTCTTGGTTTTGGTGTTGTATGCTTATGTAGTTTCAAGGTCCAAGGCTATGGCGGTTTGGAGGGTCTCTCAGACCTGTGAATGGAATATTGTGACATACTTCATTAGTGTTAGAGATAACGAAGAGCATGTCATCTAATATGTGAATGTCCAGAAGGTGGCCTCTGGGAGAGTAGCAGGAAGTCTCATTAGCCTGTCCATTAATGTTTTCCAGAAAGAGTCCTGTCTTTCTGTTCTTTTGACCATATTCACCCTTAAATAGATATACTTTATTCTGATAATATGTACAAAATTAAACTTAAGCAACCGTTTTTCTTACCTGAATAAAATGAACCAAGTATAATACTAGTTATTTGAAAAGACTTTCATCTTTGTTTTTTTTAAAAATCATAAATTTGTGACTTTCTAAAAAATACACAACTTATTTTACTTAACTCTAATTTTTTCTGAGGCTCAAATGTTTGTCCCTTGGCCAGTTGGAGCCACTGTGAACTGCCTTTTCTGTTCTTTAAATTTTTTTTTTTTATTGTTGTAAAAATATACACAACATTGCCAATTCAACGTTTTTTGGGTGTACAATTTAGTGATATCAATTACATTAATCATGTTGTTAACCATCACCTATAATCATTGCCAAATTTCCCATCACCATAAACAGAAACTCACTGCTTCCTAAATAATACCTACCCCTTTCTCCCTGCCTTCTGCCCCTAGAAACCACTAATAAACCTTGGTCTCTATACATTTATCTGTTCTTGCTGTTTCATATAAGTGAGATCATACAATACTTGTCCTTTTGTGATTGACTTATTTCACTCAGCACAATATTTTCAAGGTTCATCCACGATGTAGCATGTTTAGGACTTTATTTCTCTTTATGGCTGAGTAATATTCCACTGTATGTATGTACCACATTTTGTTTATCTACTCATCTGTTGATGGGCATTTAGGTTGTTTCCACCTTTGGTTATTGTGAATAGTGCTGCAGTGAACATTGTTATATGTGTATCTGCATCTCTGCTTTCAGGTCTCTTGGGTATATATCTAGGATAGAAATTTCTGGGTCATATGGTTCTGTGTTTAACTTTTTGAGGAATCGCCAAACTGCTTTCCACAGCGGCTGTACCTTCTGTGTTCTTTTGATAAGATCTCATACATTTTTAAAGTCTTCTTGTTTTCTGATGATACCTGGTTGTCCCAAGCCCACTTTGTATCTTCCCTGCTGTAAATGGAATCAGTCATCCTTCCAAGGAAACATAGTAGAATATAGTATTAGAAACCAAAGTGCCTGGGGTACATATCAGACTCTTGTGGTGGGGTGATATTGTTATTTAGGACATTTTAGTGAACAGAACTAGAAAAGATATATTTAAAGCTCATGAGTTTGATTCCAATTAAATTTGAACATTACTCTTAAGATAACTTCTTGATTTTTAACTCTTCAC